TTGACGAAACAGCTCGCACTGGCCGCCTTCATGGGCTTGTCTGCAGAATTTGCAGCGTCGTCGACAGTAGTGAGCCGAGTGCCCCATTCTTCCACAAGCTGCACAGGGTCCTCGTTGGGTGTTGTCGCGTGATCCATCTCCACGGTTCGACTGTTCTCGTTGGTTGTACGGTCGCGGAGGTCGGTTCGCTGAGTTTCCCCAGCTTCGGTTCGAGCCATTCTGGTCTCCCGCCGAGTTCTCTCGGCGGTCCGGTGTATTTCCTTTATCATTGGAAACGCCGGCGTCAATGTAGTCTTCGTCTTCCGCTGAGTCGTGTCCTCCGGACTGGTCCTCATCATCCCATTCGTCTTCGGAGTTGTACGGACTCGGCGGGTTCTGATGGATGAGTTCCTCTCCGTCGGAGTCAGCGTCAACGACAGTGACTCGGCGGTCGCGGTTTTCTTCCTTGCGACTTCGCTTCTCATCTCGGCGGCTCAGATCCTTCCGCTTGTCATCTCGGCCTCGTGCGATCACGAGTCGGTCGCGTTGCTTCTTGCGCTTCTCGCCGAGGATCCGACGATTGATTAACTGTTCCACCTTACTGATGTCTTCCAACTGCAAGGGGTACATCAAATCCATCACATCGTCATCACCACAATGCAGCAAGAAGTGTTCGACATGGTCAGCTGCGTCGGCGCCACCCTTCTCGTACTGGATCTTGGCCGTCCGAGCATACCCGTTGAGTCGGATCAGGAAGTCGCAGATCGGTTCGTTGACTTTACGTCTCGCCGAGTAGTAACGAGTGCGGGCGGATTGGTCGAACTGTGAGCAATAATAATCCAGGAACGCCTCGCTGAGTAGTTTCCAACGTCGCTGAGTCTTCTTCGGCAGCTGCCTGTACCAACTCTTCGCCGGGCGTCCCAAGCATAGCGAGAAAGGCTCGCACCATGCACTTTGGGGCATCCTGGTGCTCTTCATCTCGTAGATGAAACGCTTGAGCCACTGGAGCGACGCGTCAGAGCGGTAGCGCTTTCCTTTGAACTCGGCGATTTTGTCGAGCGAGGCGTGGGTTCGGACTTCGAGGTACTGCGTCGAGTCCTCTTCAGTCGCGTCAAAGCTCAAGTTTCGGATGTAGTCCTTCACGGTTTCTTCACGGTTACCTCTCACGTTGAAGGCGTCGTCGTCTTCTTCATCCTCCTCGTAAGCCTCAGCCTCATCTGCAGCGTCATACAATTCACGGTAACGACCTACATTTCGCTGCCCACGACTCGGCGCTCGCTGAGTCGGGTTTAGCTTTAGTGGAGTCAACATGTGAGGGTCTTCGAAGTACGGAGTTCCTTGCGTAGCGCGGAACACTTCACGTCTCTTCGTCTCCGGGGTCTTCGGCAAAGGAATCTTGCTCGGGTCCTCGCCGAGTGGTTTGAACTCGGCTGTACACCTTCTTCGTTCCACCAGGGGTCTTCTCCAATCCAAACGCCACTCTCAGCTTTTTCTTCCATTGCCAGAGTTCGGCTCCGCCACGGGTCAGACTCCAGTCGGACAGGATGAGGCTGTTTGGTCGGCTGTTGCACCGATAGCCCATCGCCTTCAACAGCAACACAGTTTCTTCCACCAACTGGTTGATGTTGGCTGCACGCACCGGCTGAGTTAACTCGGGACCCAACATCGGCCACTTCGCCTGCGCCATCGCTACAAAAGCGAACATCATCTTCCATTCCGATCTCGTTCTCATCTCCTCGCCGAGTCGAGCCAACACTTTATTGGCGCTCGGCGTATCGGCGTTCCTCGTCGCTTTCGGAATAAGGGGCGGACGGTCCCCTTGAGCAACGCCATGTTCTTCTTCATCTTCTTCATCGTCCGCACCTTCGTCGAGCTCGGCGGATAAGTTGCGCTCGACAGGACGTGGGGCTCCCATGTGTCCCACCTGCAGCGTCAACTCTTCCACCTCGCCAAGTAGCTCGGCGGTAGTCTTCGTTTCTCCGAGCTCAGCGGTCTCGGCCTTCTCTTCATACTCTCCTTCACTTGCATCTCCGTTCTCACTCTCCTGGTCTTGGCCATCCTCGTCGAACTGGACGGTTCGTCCCACCTCCATCGTCATGGCGATGAGTCGTTGATCCGCCGGGTCCGACCCCGCGAGAGGCGATCCTCCAGCCGTCGCTGGGCTTCCGTCGCTCGGAGTTGCTGATCCCTTGACCATCTTCACTCTTCTCTTTCTCTTCTCTTCCTCTTAACTTGGTTAGCTGGCACCTATAAAAACAAGCACACACTCCTGTTCCCAGGTCGCGGCACCAGTTGTGGTGTAGTAGAACACACAAATACCGTCAGATGTGGATTCCTTACACAAACCACAACGAATCGCCGAGTTAGGTCGGCGGTTGTATGGCCTGCGCAGAGGGTGGTCCTCTCGCGGTCCGGCCCTTCCGGGACAGACGAGTGGCTCGCTTCCACTCGGTCCGACTAACCAAGTCAGATCACTTCCGAGGCTCCGCCGAGTTTGGTTCGGCTGAGCTCGTTCACAACCCTGTGCCCTCCACCAAAGGATGGACGACGGCGCGCGAGCGCTTTTACAGGTCACCGAGCGCAGAGGCTGCTCAGCTAGAAGTGTTACGGCACCCGGGCTATCCGACGTACCGGCCCGCTGAGTATGCGGGGCTTTCTTTCGCGCGTAGCGAGACTTTGTCCTACCCGGACCGACCTAATCTGGCGCTACCAGTCAATACCCTACAAGATATGCCTCTCGAGTATTGACGGCAGGCATAATTCAGCCCTATGCAGGGACTTACCGGAAAAGTGTACACGTGTCTTGGACTAGGAAAATTCTGCTCTGTTATCTTCTGGGAGCCTTTTCGGCTCCCCCTATTTAATCCTATACTTCCTATACAAATATCTAGTGAAATGTAGTCGTTTCGGATCTCTACCGACCCTTCAGCTGAGTTCGGGCGACCGTTGAGCTCAGCGGCTATCCGGATAGCATATCCGGACAGATCGCCAAGTACTTACCGTGATCCTTTGTTCTTAAGCTCCGGGTTATTAGACCGAGCCGATTCTTGACCTAAAGTAGGTCGGCGTATGGTCGAATCTGGAAATCCCTACACCACAACTGGCTCGGGCCATCGCAGCTGAGCAGAGCAAGGTTGACGCTGCGCTGGGTCAGGCCCAGCTCCATCATCAGCAAGTCTTGGATCGAGACGCCGAGATCGACGTCCTTCTCCGATTTATTTCTGAGAGGGATGCGGCGTTCGTCACCCTTCAGGGCATTGCTTCCAAGCACTTCGAACAGCTGCAGGAGTCGGTGCGGTTGTACAGCTCCACCCACACTCAACCTTTGCGGCACGCTCAGTCGGTGCTCGCTGAGCAGCGGGCGGTGATCTTGTGACAGAAGCGGCTCATCCGTCGGAATGGCATTATTCTGATGCATGTTTTGCCTCACTCAAAGCTACAGCCTTTCGCAGGGACGCGAGGAGATTAGCCGACTGCGTGGCAGCAGCCTCCAATCGAGACACTTGCTGTTGAGCCGACGAGAGCTGAGCTGACAAGTCGACGTTGCTGAGAGCAAGCGAGTCCAGTCGCCGAGTCAGTGCGCGGTTCTCCTTCTGAACAGCTTGATTGTCAGCTCGGAGATCGCCAATGATCTGTGGATAATCAAGAGCGGCGTAGTTGCCTTTCAAGATATCCAACAGTTCCCCCGCGGAAGCAGCATGCAAGATCGCTCGCCGCTGCACGGGATCGGAGGGCTCCACGGAACGAGTAAATCCGTAAGCCATGAGCCTCGCCAAGAAGGTCAATTCTTCTCGGCGCTCATACCCTTGTTCGTTAACTCTGGCCATGAGAGAGTCAAGACTCACTGGAGCAGCCGAGCTTGGCTGATTGGTGGCGCCCGAAGTGGTGTCGCCCGGCAAGCTCGGTGGACCAGGAAGGCGTACGCGAGAAGACCCCGCCGACTCCGCGTCAGACGCATGAGAAGTTGTCAGGTCGACCAGCTTAGCCTCAGGCCGGTCGCTGACCCCACGAGTACCGACGGGTCGGGGAATCGACTCAGCTGGCACGCCTTCACCTCGACGAGGAGTTGGAGAAGAATGATGGTGCCGCGAGTTGTGCTGGAGTAACAAGCGAGGAGTAAGGAGCTGCCAAGGGAGTGACAGCGGAAGCAACAAACGTACCGAAGAAGGTGGTGGAGAGCCGCGGGACATCATCAGCCGAGTATGGACCAACGGTGGCAGGACCAAATGAAGGATTAAGACACTCACCAGCTCGGCTCGTATCATAATCGGGGCAGTTGTGGTGTAGAGATTTCCAGATTCGACCATACGCCGACCTACTTTAGGTCAGGAATCGGCTCGGTCTGATAACCCAGAACTTAAGAACAAAGGATCACGGTAAGTACTCGGCGATCTGTCCGGATATGCTATCCGGATAACCGCTGAGCTCAACGGTCGCCCGAACTCAGCTGAAGGGTCGGTAGCGATCCGAAACGACTACATTTCACTAGATATTTGTATAGGAAGCATAGGATTAAATAGGGGGGGCCGAAAAGGCTCCCAGAAGATAACAGAGCAGAATTTTCCTAGTCCAAGACAAGTGTACA